GTGTGGCTCAATGGTTGAGTATCAACCTATGAACCAGGAGGTCACAATTCGATTTCTGGTCAGGGTATATGCCCAGGTTGTGGGCTCCATCCCCAGTGTGGGGCTTGCAAGAAGCAGCCAGCCAATCAATGATTCTATCTCATTATAGATGTTTCTATCTCTTTCTCCTTCTCCCTTTCTCTCTGAAATCAATAAAAAACACACGTATATATACAGACATATATAAATGTAATACATATATGTATACATATATACATATATAAATGTATCATATATATCATATATATATCATATATATATACGAGAGAGAGAGAGAGAGAGAGAGAGAGAGAGAGCCCCCATGCACAAATTCATGCACAGGGGGTGTCCCTCAGCCTGGCCTGCACCCTCCCCAATCTGGGACCCTTCGGGGGATGTCTGACTGCCAGTTTAGGCCTGATCCCGGCTGCTGAAAGCAGGTTTCTGGGCTTTGTTTACCTTCTGTATTTGAAACTTTGTTGCGACTCCAGCTCTGAGATCCCGGCTTACTGAAAGCAGGTTTCTGGAGTTTGTTTAGCTTCTATATTTGCAACAATGTTTCTTAGAGAGCAGCTCAGAGCCCAGCAGCAGCAGGCAGGGAACGTTGGCTTCCTCCGTCACTGGAGCAAGCAAGCCTCCTGTTTGCTTCAAGCTGCCTGGCTGCCGGCCGCCATCTTGGTTGGCAGTTAATTTGCATATCGCCCTGATTAGCCAATGGGAGGGGTAGCGGAGGTATGGCTAATTACCATTTTTCTCTATTATTAGATAGGATAGATTATTACTTTTGTATTTTTCGTTTTTAGTAAGCTCTGAACTTCTCCATATCCATTTAAATATCTAAATGAGGCCACCCTCTCATGGTCCCTCCCCATGGCTGGCCAATCTCCTGTGGTCCCTTCCCCGATCTGGCTGACCCCAATCAGGATTGTGTGAGATGGACCCCGATCAGCCCCTATCGCCGGCCAGGCCGAGGGACCCCACCTGTGCACAGATTCGTGCACCAGGCCTCTAGTTATATAATAATTAAGTACCCACTCTGTGCCATGCCCATATTGAACTTTACTTGTGTTCATATCATCTTTACAACATGACTAGGAGATATTCTTAATCCATGTCCTCGATGAGGAAACTAAGGTTGCTGAATGTTTAACTAACTTGTGCAGTCTCATAGTAGTTATGGTAGAACCAAAATAAAATCAGATGGCTAGATCCATAGTCCATGCTTCTGACCATTACACAGTATTGTCTCTATCATAGTAATAGCAATTTGGCACAGTTCTAAACATTACATTAATTCATTACAGAAGGTAGACTGGCAGCCTAAGGAGTTTTACATTTACCCTGGGTAGTAGGAAGTCATGGTCAGAATTTATTTTGAGGAAGTTAAATTTAGCAATCATATTAAAAATGAAATGAAGACATGAAACTTTTCAAATATTTGCATGCTATTATACTGTGACTATCCTTAAGAACACTATTTTATATTAGAAAAGACCATTTCTGAATAGGAAATAACATTACTCAGTTGTTACTATGATTCTTGTTCCTATGGTATCTAGCACTCTATGCTATCACTGATATCCTTTCAAGATCCTACCCTTGATAGAATATAGTCTATCAGATGAACTACTAGTATAGTGAAATTCAAAATGTAGTTTCATTTTATTGTACCTGTAAACCTGTTGTTTATTTCATATTTCATTCACACTGTATAAGCTCATAAAATATTTTTTATTTTATTTTTTTCAAAAAGTAATAGTACTTTACCCCTATCTGCCTCTCTATTGACCCTGCCTCACCCCCCACCTTTCTTTAGCAACTTGTTTGCTTCTATAAGACCTCAGGGTGCTCTTCTTGTTCCAGCAATACACTCTCTGAGTTGCTGCCAAGGGGGTAATGATGTATGGGTGAGTACTCAACAGAGGAGGAAACATCTAAGTTTTGAAGAAAACCACATGTCTTGCATGTTATTTTATTCCTATGCTACATTCTATGGGCATTCTTACTGGAGATGTGTGTCTCCTGGAGACATGGGGTCAAACATTCTCATAGCAATACAGGATTATTCAAAAGTTCAATCAAAACAATAAAATACCTAAGAATAAACTTAACAAAGAATGTGAAAGAACTATATACTGTAAATTACAAAACTTAATTAAGAGATTGAAAAAGACACAACAAAATGGAAAAAAAAATATCTCTTGCTCATGGATTGGAAAAATCAATATAATTAAAATGGCCATTTTACCCAAAGCAATATCCAGATTTAATGCAATCCCTGTCAAAATCCCAATGTCATTTTTTAAAGAAATAGAATGAGAAATCATCAGATTTGTATGGAACCACAAAAGACCCAGAATAGCCAAAGCAATTCTGAAAAAAAAAGACCAATGCTGAAAGTATCATGCTACCTGACCTCAAAATATACTACAGAGCTACAATAATCAAAACAGCATGGTACTGGCAGAGAAATAGATACATAGATCAATGGAACAGAATAGAGAGCCTAGCTATAAAACCACATGTATATAGACAGATAATTTTCAAAAAAGGAGCCAGAAATGCACTTTGGAGTAAAGATAGTCTCTTCAATAAATGATGCTAGGAAATTGAAAAGCCACATGCAAACAAATAAAACTGGATTTCAGTTTGTTCCCATGTACAAAAATTAATTCAAAATGGATCAAAGACTTAAACATAAGACCCAAAACTGTAAGTCACATAGAAAAAAATATAGGTACCAAACTTATGGACCTGGCTGGTAGAGAACATTTTATGGACTTGACCCCAAAGGCAAGGGAGGTAAAGGCAAAAATAAATGAAGAGCTTCTGCACAGCAAAAGAAATGGACAACAAAACAAACCAGCAGTCAACCAGGTGGGAGATGATATTTGCAAACAGTAGCTCTGACAAAGGTTTAATCTCCAAAATATATAAAGAACTCATAATACTCAACACCAAACAAATAAACAACCCAATCAAAAAGTGGGCAGAAGACCTGAAAATACACCTCTCCCAAGAAGACATACGAACAGCCAATAGATATATGAAAAGATGTTCAACCTCACTGGCAATCAGGGAAATGCAAATTAAAACTACAATGAGATACCACCTTACACCAGTTAGAGTGGCCATTATCAACAAGACAAGCAACAACAAGTGTTGGAGAGGTTCTTGAAAAAAGGGAACCCTCATTCACTGCTGGTGGGAATGTAGACTGGTACAACTCTATGGAAAGCAGTCTGACGATTCCTCAAAAAATTAAAAATAGAGCTACCATATGACCCAACAATCCCACTCCTGGGTATATACTTTAAAAACTCGAAATTATTTATATGCAAAGGTATATGAACTCCTATGTTCATTGCAGCATTATTCACGGTGGCCAAGAGTTGGAGACATCCAAAGGTCCCTACTATAGAGGACTGGATAAAGAAGATGTGGTATATATACACAATGGAGCACTACACGGCCATAAGAAAGGATGAAATAGCGTCATTTATAACAACATGGGTGGACCTTGAGAACATTATGTGAAGTGAAATAAGTCAAACAGAGAAAGCTAAGAACTATATGATTTAACTCTATGTGGAATATAAAACTGAAACTTATGTACACAAACAGCAGTGTGGTGGTTGCCAGAGGGAAGGGTGGGGGAAGAAAAGGATCCTAATATGAGGTGACAGGAGAAGATTTGACTTTGGTTGGTGGGCACATGGTCCTATATACAGATTTTGTAAATTAGTAATCCATACATGCAACCTATATGTTCATGTTGGCTAATGTCACTCCAATAAAATTTAAAATAATTTTAAAAATAATAATAGAATTTAAATTTTTTTTAAAAAAGTTCAACCAATCATCTCCATGATACTTCTGCTATGATCTTTTGCTCAAACTTGTGAGAAGACTTTTGCATTCTTATCTGTGAACTATTGTGACTGAATTATGATTTGGGTTTAAACTTGTTATATAAAAATTTGTGTTGTTTTGTTTTTCATTTTTAAAAGCTACATGGAGTAAGTGGATATCTTATTAATTAAAATTTGTTGGTTAAGAACATTTATTAAATACACATGGCTTGTGTGCATATTTGACATATGTAATTTAAACTTGATTAATAGAAACTGGAAATTGAACAAATGCTTGAAAGAAAGTCTAAATAATGTTCTTTGCCACAATTTTAGATGATTTAGTAAGTGATATGTAGGGCATGAATGATAAAGAAAGGAATGAGAATACAATTGGCAAAGAAAAAATAGGTTAAAAGAACTTAAAGGCCTCAGTTATGTGCCATATAAATACTTTATTGGCTGACTAAAAATTATTTGAAATCTTTATATTGGGAAGTTCACCACAAAACTACATTTACAAGACACTCATACAAATTTAAAAGAGATGTGAAATTTCTAAATATTTCTTAGTACAAATCTGTTTGCTTTAACAAAATAATTAGTCTTAAGGAACTTTCACCATCTTCTGAGACTGTTGCTTTCCCTAGAACTATTAAAATACCCCAAATGGGAAAAAAGATTGAATAAAAAAACACATCTGGCTGTAAAACCTACTTAAAAGGTTCTGAAAAAAGCAGGGCACCTATAGTTATAATAATTCTATTAAATGTTAAACTTCAATGCCTCAATAAAAACTTTGAAGTTAATATTTCATTAGAATAAAAAGTGAAAGAGCCAGGAGAAAAAAAAGGTACCTTTACTGCTTCTTTTATGGATACATTTTCTCTGGTGCTGAATTAATAGTAAATGAGTTAATACATATGTATTGAAAACATAAATAGAAATTCAGATTCATTGAAGATCAGCTTTGACCTGAATCCACTAAAATACAGGACAATGATTACTTATACTAGAGAAATTATTAATAATATGACTATGGCTCAACTCTGAAATTAATAATAAGCTAATAGAAACCCAGATATTAATGATACGTACACACATGCATGCATAATTTGTGGTTGTACTTACTTTTGGTCACTACACCTTCTAAGTGAATGATGTTAGGATGATCAAACTGCCCCATGATACTTGCTTCACCCAGGAAATCTCTACGTTGCTTTTCAGTGTAGCCTACTTTAAGGGTTTTGATCGCCACAGGTAATTCTCTTTTTCCTGGAAGTTTCAAACGTCCACTACAAACTTCACCAAATTCACCTTGTGACAAAGATAGAAAAAGTATACAAAATATTTGAAATCCTTAATCTAATAATAATATAAAGCACTCAGAATATCAAGGTATAGATGAAACAGAGTTAACAAAGGAGTCCAAACTTTGTTACCTACACTAATAGAAATAAATGGTGCACTGGGAACAATCATCTACAAGTGATCATAACATACTATGGGGGTTATTAGCTTCATCCATCTCACCAACAAAACCCTTAATAGAAATGTTACAACACAATTAAATGCAACTGACTTAAATAATTTCCTTCTTCCATTTTTTGTTTTGTTTTGTTTTGTTTTCTATTCTAGTAGTGCCATTAATGAGAAGAGAAAGGGAGAAAAGATTATAGCAGGACAAATCTTTTTTTAGGAAAAAAAAAGAAAACAATTGTAAGGAAGAAATGTTCATAAATAGAATAACTGGGTGCTTGAATTATGTAAATATTTTCAGCATTACAAATTATATATGTATATGTATTAAAATAAACAGTAGATGGTGAAACACTATGTTTGAATATATTGCTGGTTTATTTTTTTATTTCATAAACTAGACACTTACTGGTTGAAGTGTGAGCTACACAGAAGGTAGCATTAAAATATGATTCATTATATACCACTTTGAAAGTGAGTCAGTTACAAAAGATCAAAAACATTTTGTGTTAGCCTGGCCAGTGTCGTTCAGTGGTTGAGCATCCACCCATTCACCAAGAGGTCTCTAGTTCCATTCTTGGTCAGGGCACATGCCCAGCAGGGGGCATGAAGGAGGCAGCCAATCTATGTTGATGTTTGTCTCTCATCCTTGTTTCTATCTCTCTCTACCTCTCTCTTCCTCTCTCTCTAAAGTCAATAAAAACATATTTAAAATAAAAACAAACAAACAAAAATTCTGTATTAGATCAGGACAATGACACATTACATTCTATTGTTAAATCTTATCATTAAACACAAGTAAAAAATCTGACTTAAACACACTGTGATACCTGCTCCAATAACTCTTTCAATTGTGATGCATGAAGCTTCTATCTCCTTGGCAAATTCATGGACAGCTTGATTGGGATCCTCATAGGTATGTGGATCGATATAAGTTCTTACTCCTGGCAGTTTAACTGTGAAAATAAATGGGCATTAAGATACAAGTGCTTGTGCTGGATGAGTGAAATGATAAATGTTATTAACATCCAACTGTGGCTTAAATCCCTAATCCCTGTAAGTGTATGAGCAATAAGAACAGAGCTTCTCCTGAATTATAGGAATCATTTGTTCAGCTATGTCACTTTTATAATTTTGAAATCTGAATAGTTGGCATGTACAAGAAGTGTATACAGGGCGATGTATATGAGTAAATACATCTTTCAACACCAATGTTTTACAGAGTTAGTCTCTGAGACAAACAAAGACAGTTTCGTTTACTAAAGGGGACAATGAAATGTCAGTGGTTTATTTGTTGGTTTGTTAGTCTGCATCCCACTTAAATTATCATCAGAGATGATTAATTTTGGTTTAAAAAATAATGTAAAATACATTTTCAGGTGCTTTGGTCCAATATGACTTATAGAGAAGTCAAAAGAAAAAGAGATGCTCTACTTCTCACTCTACCTGTGTTACTGCATAGACTGCTATGTTCCATGAGCCTGTTTCATTCTATTTAAAAGCTACCAACATCAGCCTCACAGGGTTTTTTGTTTGTTTGTTTTTTGAGGATAAGTAACATTAAATAGCAATATTATGGAAATGGACTCAATGCTTTACAGCATGATGTATGGCTTTAATGACTGTCTTTTATGGTCCTAGAATAGTGACAAAAATAAAAGAAACCTTTTTTTGTCATTTACTTGATGAAACAACTCATTCTGCAATGTTAATGACAAAAGGAACATATTAAAATACCATTAATTACAAACCATTTACTAATTCTTAAAGCTCATTGTTAAAACTTGATTTTTGCATTTCTTAAAAATATAGAGTTATTCAAGTCATTGGAACCAAGGTTGCTGCTACAGGATCTGCTCAGGGAAAGTCCTGTTATAATGCTGCAAAAAAATACTGAGAATTTTCATATTTGTAATCTGATGGTGCGATTTAAAAACAGATTTCTATTGAATGTATTGCTAACATTTAGAATTGGCTTAGATATTAATCAAAGGGTTTCTATTTTAATGATTATAATCAAAGAATGCTGTAAATAATTGAACTATCTCTCTGTTGCCTAGAATCAGCCGCAGTGTCCTACGCTTATATGCTTTACAGAAATGTAACAAAAAACATTTTTAAACCACTATTTTGGTCAGTTAATAGAAATCTTGTCTGAAAAACAACAACACACCATAATAATAATCTGTGCCTGACACTGTGTACTTTTGAGTTTTTACAATTTGCTTACTGTGCCCATTATGAAAATGCATCTTTTCCTCTTCTGGGTCTTGTTTTGCCTTGCTGTAACCACACCGCCTGGAACAGAGTAAGCTACAATTAGCCCCATCTCCAACGGGTGAATCACATCAAGCCGGAAGCATGAAACACAATTGAAATGATTGCAACCCTAACTGATTTTCACACTAGTAGTATGAAATAACACCAATACTCCTTTTGGTCACATTACTCTAGCCCAGTGGTCGGCAAACTGCGGCTCACGAGCCACATGCGGCTCTTTGGCCCCTTGAGTGTGGCTCTTCCACAAAATACCAACTTCTGCGCATGAGCCACGAAGTTTCAATCGCACTGTACATTCGCGCTGTACGTGGTATTTTGTGGAAGAGCCACACTGAAGGGGCCAAAGAGCCGCATGTGGCTTGCAAGCCGCAGTTTGCTGACCACTGCTCTAGCCAATAGCACTCCCACTCTTTCTCATATTTTACTGAGAAATCTGAATCTATCCAACTCATATTTTAACTTCTCTTCAACATACACCTAACAGCAGACATGTTTCTATTCCTCTTTCTTTTCCTTCCTTCCCTCCCTCCCTCCCCCCTTCCTTTCTTCCTTCCTTCTTCTTTTTTCTTTCTTCTTTCTTTCTTTCTTTTGCCAGCTCAGAAGTCACTGACTACTCTTTTCAGGATGAACAGCTCAAAATGTGTCTGATTCATTAGTCTCCCACCCTCAACTCCTTACTCTATCATTTGATTTTTTCTCTTCTTTTGGAATCATTAGTTGCTGCACTAGCTCTTTTCCATTCACATTCCCTCAGATCAGTATCAAATTGACCACAACTCGCACTCTCTCTCAGCTCCACTCTTCAAATCTTAGTCTCTCCTATGTGTGTGTGTGTGTGTGTGTGTGTGTGTGTGTTTTCTCATCAACTCTCTAGTTTGAGTTCTTTGAACTGCTTCTAGTACCTACAAAAATCTATCCTTCAAAGTTTCACTAATTACATATTCACATCTAAATCCAATGACTTTTCCTTAGATTTTAAGCATTCATGATTGACTGAAATCCCTAACTACTTTTTGATGTTTTTTGTTCCTTCATTTATACCAGTAGGTCCTCTGCATGAACTTCTTGGGTTCTCTCCTGTCAACCCGTCTATTTCCATCAATTTAATTAATACCATCTAGTACCTCTGGTTGAATTCTTTTGAAAGTTATGCTCTTATTTATAATAGATTTATTTTATAGATATATTCATTGGCATTCAAACTCAATAGATTTGATATTATATAATTAACTATACAATATTAAAATAATTATATAATTAACCATATAATATTAAAATAACTGTCTAAAATGAAAATATTTAAATTATTTTAGTGAAGTTTCGAGGCTATGAATTTACTATTTATAAGCTCTCATAAGAAAATTGAGTTTATTCAATACAAAATTTTCATTTATTTTTGTATAAAGAAAATATAGCCAAAGTAATAGATTGACAAAATATTTTCATTACAAAACTGGTTGAAAATTACTAAGTGATCTAAATAAAATGTTCAGTTGACATGTACTAATGAGGATTGGTTCTTGGTACACATTCAAGGATGTTTTATAAGTCTATATATTTTTTGGTATAAAAATAAAATATATAACATAAAATAGATAAGACACCACATCTTTGTGCCATTTTTGGAAAAAAAATTATCTTCATTTTATCATCCTAAAGAACTGCCAATTTATTAGTAAAGTACAGCTAGTTAATTTGAATAAACTTAAAGTAATATATTTAACATATATAGTGTTCTTATGTGAGGAACAATACACAATCTGAATCTAGTGGCATTTCAAGTTTTATTCATAACACTTAAGTGCATTTATCATTCAAGAACCCTTCAGACATCTTGAAATATCTCACCACAGTGAAATGAAGAGAAGAAAAAAATAAAATTATATTGCAATTATATTTGATCTACTCAAGTTGACATTTAAATTATTCTAAAATACTGTTCATAGTTTCATAGATGTTATTCTTTCAATTTTTATGTATATGCCTCTACAGTGAAGTTAATGATATCTTTATTTTTACCAATGCTCTAAATACAATGGTGTGAAATCATCCTAAGATTTATGTTATTTAAATAACATTGACAATATTTTTTCTAAAGATGGTTCTAAAGAGTCTTAAAAAGTATACAAGTTCCTGCAGTTTACATTAGAAAACAAATATCTGATTATTTTTTCTTCTATTTCTTTAAAAATATCGTCGGGTTTTTGATAGTTTGATTTGATTGCATTAAATCTTTATATTTTTTTTTAGTAAAATGGACATTTTGATGTTGATTTTTTCAATCCATAAAAATGAAATATAGTTTCATTTTATTGTGTCTTTCTCAATCTTGTTTATTAATGCTTTATAGCTTTCAGTATATAGGTCCTTCACATCCTTTGTTAAGTTTATTCCTTAGTATTTTACTCTTTTTGTTGCAATTGCAAAATAGTTTTTTTTTCATTTATTTTCCTGAAATTAATGAAATACTACTCAGCCATAAGAAAAGATGAAATACTGCCATTTGAGACAACATGGATGGATCTTGAGACTAACATGCTAAGTGAAAGAAAAAGTTAAGAATCATATCACCCATAGGTGGGATATAAAACTGAAAGCAACAAATGAACAAATAAGAAAAACAAGCAAAAACTCATAGGCATAGTCAACAGTATGGTAATTACTAGAAGGAAGAGGGTTTGGGGTACAAAAGGGTAAAGGAGATCAAGTATATGGTGACAGAAGATTTGACTTTGGGTGGTAAGCACACAATGCAATATACAGATGAATCATAGATTTGTGCACTTGAAACCTAGATAATCTTATTGACCAAGGGCACCCCAATAAATTTAATAAAAAAGAAAACAAACATCCATTTCATCTTCAACTTTCCTGCCTTCAAAAAAAAATTAAGCTTTCAAACTTGTTTCCTCAAATAGTTTTTGTCATTAAATAAGCCTTATATATATTTAAATCACATGCACATTCCTCATATAAAAATGAAAATAAAACTTTGGATCTCATCAAAAAAGTGATTTGGGAATACCTTGATAAGGAGAAGTTGACATTTTAATACCTGGGGTGAGATTCAGGAGGGCAATAGAGTTATTTTTGACTATGGACATCTCTGGAGCTCTATAACATATATGGCTGCATGTCACATTAACATATAAATTAAGTTTTGGAACCTCCCCCCACAGCATCATTTAAACAAGCTGCAGCAAAATCAACAAGCAAAAGTGCAGCTGGCAAAGACTGGCACTCACGGAGTGGATCAGACTCACTAACAAGGCATTGAGGGAAGCCTGTTCATTCAGTATCATCTTCTATTCCTGATCCAGATGTATAATTTTAAACCATCAGACAGACCATCAATAAACAAGCCATTCTGTGCATAAATCACGCCTCCTACATTCTAGAACCATTTTTTAAAAAGGAAAACAGTTTCTTCATTTTGCTTCCAACACAATTTTAATAAGCTTCATATCATTGTACTAAAAATATCTGTAGTGTTGTAAGTAGAGAAATCATCTTCTAGTCATTTATACTTTTCTTCTAGAAAACAATGTTGTTTTATTTTTAGTAGTAGAGATGAGTGTGAGAAATCATATAAAAAGGTAGGTATAATTAATATTTATTAATATTTACTAAGAAGTGCTAGAGAGATGCTTAATATATAAATATAGCAATGCCTTTATAGGTAATTTAGAAATCAATCTACTTTCTCTCACACCTGTCCTAAGAATTTGAATACCACATCCTTGATGATATTAATGCTGATCTTAAAATCTAGGCCCCGGCCATAACATCCCAAATTTGGATATTTGAAATGTCCACTATATAGTAAATAATAATATTTATGTAGAGATGAATATGCTAATGAGTAATTTAGTTCTTAGATGCAAATTAAAGATTTGATAATAAATTTGAAGTATAAATGCCAAGCGGACCAGAGCACAAAATGATACACAGAATTAGTGATTTACTAAATGTCAGCCTTATGGCCCATGAGGAGAGATGAGTGAATGGAATAGCCTGAGAAGAGTGTAGATTCTTGCTCAATTACAGCTTCCACAGAATCATATGTTCCCATTCCTAGCCTACAAAAATAAAAACTGGATATACACTCTTTCACCTTAATTCTAAATAAGGTGGGGAGGGTTGGAACAGTGGGAGGAGGGGTTTTGCATTTTGATTTTTTTTAAAAGAGTGAACATAACCATTTCTTAGATCAGAAATGGACCATCAGCTATGTATTGCTCCTCTATTTTCCAGATTTATTAAGGAATACTTTCCTTATACTTTAATACAAAAAATATTCAAAAGGCAACACATTGCAGTAAACATTAGATCACATATATTTTGTTTATGGAAAATAAAAGCTGCTTGTAATCTTAGCCTCTTTTAAAAAACACAATTCTCAATATATGTACCCTCCCTTGTTCTGACATAATGACTTCAACCACTGCACAATGTTGTATGTAAGAATTTATTGCTGGAATCTTGAAAACAAGAAGTTACAACTTTTTGGGAAATAGTTTAACTTTTTTCGCTTCAAGATTCTCTCCAACTGAACCAAGGTAGTTTTAATTAAAACTCAGCTAACTCAGCCTCATAAAATAAAGAAGCATATAAACATTAGCTTATTAATATACCTAATAAATACTGGAAATAGATTGTTTTGTTTTACAGGACCACATTCTTTAATAAGAATGTCAGTGAAAATGCAGTAAAATTGGACATCTGATATTTAGGCTGCCTTACTAGCAGGATCTTAAGACCCCCGTTCATATAGTTCTCATTTGTATACACAAGTGCTAGGATTCTGAGTTCCTTACAGATGTAAGTTACAAAAAATGCAACTGATCTATTATTGTTTACTAAAAAGTCTCTAATATATATATCAAAGAAAATGTACTCATGTTGAAACATAAATTTCTTGATTGTGGGATTGCAGTAGTAATTATACCGCATAAATGAGGACACAGATTACTAGGTTCCCATCATAGATTCTATCAAGGACACTACTCAATGATGAA